TACAAGAGGGTTTTTTTCTTTTTCTAATTCTGTATGTTCTTGTTACTTATAAAATGGAAATTCACTGAAATCTCATATACAGAGACTTTGGAATTGGTCCCCTGAGATTGACAGTGGCTGCTAAACAGATCTCTGATCTGAGGTTATACTCTTTTGGATGTACTTCTGTAGTTGCCTATACTTCTGAGAAATTTTTCTAGCCACATTACTACTCTTAAATGACCTTCCTGTTCTTGCCGTTCTTATTCCTTGGACGTTTACCTGGTAGATGTTCTTTGAATAAGTTTTTCAATGAATAAGTGGTTTTTTATTTTTAACATGGATTTACTCAGAATTGAAGCATCTTTTTCATATGGGATGGATAAAAGTAACAATGAAAAGACATTAATCCTTGGTCTGTGCAGACATGCTAGCTAATGGTGGAATAGAAATAGCCCAAAAAAAGATAAAATCCATGACATTAAAGGATTTTACAAGATAGAAAAGGAAGCATCCAAGGACAGGAATAATTGAAAGAAGTAGAGGGAAAGTATCTGATTTGGAGAGAATATGGAATCATATATTCAATGACCACTTTTTTATCTCACCTCTTAACCTTACCTAATATGTTTAAAAAACAAAACAAATAAAACCTCTAGTTCTATAAGGTTTTTCAGTGTTAAACATTCATTAAATATCTAGGATTATGCCAGTCACTAAGAAGAATATCAAACTCTTGAACAATACAGACCCTTGAACAATACAGGTTTGAACCATAAGGGTTCAGACCCTTGAACAATACAGGTTTGAACCATGAGGGTCCACTTACATGCATTTTTTTCAACCGAACTTGGATTGAAAATACAATATTTGCAGGATGCAAAACCCAAATACAAGGAGGGCTGACTTTTTTGTGTACTCGGGTTCTGCAGGGTTAACTGCAGAACTTGAATATGACAGATTTTGGTATATGCAGGGGTCCTGGAACCAGTTCCCTGCACATACCGAGGGATGACTGGAGTTGATGTGATTCCAGTCTTTAAGAAACTTTATTTTTAAGTAAATACGAAAAGGAAATGAAACAGTATTTCACGTCTTTGTGAAACTCCCATATTTGGAAGATTGCTTATTAAAATATTCTTAATCTATCCATTTTAATCATGTGTATATTTCTATAAATTAATACAAAATTAATTCTTTACTTTAAATAACAGAAATGCCCCTTTGGCGCCTTATCAATTGTCAATTTACCAAGCAACTTGGAAAAAGAAACCACACATCGATATTGTGCCAATGCCTTCAAACTTCACAGGTATATTTTCACATCAACATTCCTCTTTACTTCTGTCAAGTTAAGAGTAATATACATTTAGAATTTTCAGAGAAGTGCAAAACGGGGAAAAAATGACATTAACCATCCACCAAAGGGAAATGCAGTCTAATAACATCATTCACAATCATATATCAGTAGTTCATTCTGGCTAACATTAGAATTACCTGGGAGACTTCTTAAAACTGCTAATATCCAGGTTTCAGTCCAGTTGAATTACATCGTAATCTCTGGACGTTAGTAAATTGAAAAAGTCACAGGTGATTCTAATGTACAACCAGGACTGAGAATCGCTGTTGTTCATAGTGCCGTTATCCCCAAAATAACTTGTAAGGGAACTTGCCTTTGATTTTGTTTATCCATTAATTTTCTGATATCCAGAGAATATCACTTTGAACTTGGATATATATTATTAAATCACAAACAAGTCCTTAGTTCTTTGTGGTTTTTATCTGCTGAACACTAATATTTTGATCTGAGAGTCTAGATTTTACTAATAAAAAGGTATTTCTCAACCTGTCAGCTTTAAAGGGCCTACTGCAGCAGGGAGAATGAAGTGGAATATTTCTGGTTGATGTGGCACTTCTCTCCTTGTAAGTAAATGGCAGGCCAGAAAAAAAAGACAGTGTGAGGTTGCACCTGCTATGTAATTTTGTACCAAAGCATTTTGTTATATATTAAAACTGAACCTTTTATGTAAAGAAGAAATGTTACTTTAGAATGGACTTTGAATGAAAATTGAATAAATAAAACTTGGAGTAATATTGGTCATGAATGCATTTCTAACAATTAACAGTTTAAGTTAATCTTGGCTGATTTTTTTTTTCTAATAGCCAATAATATCTGGCATATATTTCTTAGCTTATTAATGGATGTGTGTGAAATGCAAGCGCATTAAAATACATGATTCTGATATTATGTAGCTTTTTCTACCTAAGTCTGAGTTTTGTTTCTCATTTTTGTGTATTTATAACAGGTTGCCTATCCCTCGTCCAGGTGAAGTTTTGGGATTAGTTGGAACTAATGGTATTGGAAAGTCAACTGCTTTAAAAATTTTAGCAGGAAAGCAAAAGCCAAACCTTGGAAAATATGATGTATGTATTGTCACCTTATAAAAATTAATATCTTGAGTTGGTTTTATGAGATTTTGAGGGGGGTGGTGTGTATGTGGTTTTCTTTAATGTTCTGTTCAAGATTATTGGTGGAATTAAGCTGAGAAACTATATAGATGAAGCTCTTTCATTCCTTTTTAATTAAAATCTGTTAGTGCTACTTAACTGAAAATTCTGAGTTTCCTTAAGGAAACTGATATTTGTTAGGCCTTCATGTGAAACTAATTCTGCTTCCGATTTTAAAGAGAAGCCAAAAGTATTCTACTTGGACATATATTCTATTTTGTTTGGCATTCATCCTCTTTGTAATTGTATTATTAGTTTAAATTTATATAACTATATATATATATATATATATATATATATATATATTTCTAGGATCCTCCTGACTGGCAAGAGATTTTGACTTATTTCCGTGGATCTGAATTACAAAATTACTTTACCAAGATTCTAGAAGATGACCTAAAAGCCATTATCAAACCCCAATATGTAGACCAGATTCCCAAGGCTGCAAAGGTCAGTTGCTTTTTTAGGGGGAATTTATATACTTTATTGGTGGAAGTATAAAAGATTTATCAAAGTAAACTTGTTTTACTTTGTGATTCTTTTTAATATTGAAGAAAAATTGTGGTAACTATTTCTGGTGTATTATGACAGGGGACAGTGGGATCTATCTTGGACCGAAAGGATGAAACAAAGACACAGGCAGTTGTATGTCAACAGCTTGGTAAATTTATTTTTTATATATATATTTTAACAAGCCCTGGACTTAAGTCATGAGGGTATACGTCTTTATATGGATTACTGAAATAAATGGGAAAATTCTCTAGTAATTGTCATATTTACTTTTTATGTTACACAATTTTCAACTGAAATAACATTCAAACTCAGAATGATGACACGCAGTATACGTTTATCCTGGAAGAGGTAAAATAAAATTTATAACATTGAGCTTAATGCCTCTATGTTCTTTGTAGATTTAACCCACCTTAAGGAACGAAATGTTGAAGATCTTTCAGGAGGAGAATTGCAGAGATTTGCTTGTGCTGTTGTTTGCATACAGAAAGCTGACATGTAGGTTACTTTAAATTTTTTATCTTAATCTTTATTTTAGAGATTTTATTTGTAATGCTGCTACTAAAGGAGTGGTTTTGAGAGAAATTAATAGAAATGGTATCTTAGGTTCTAATTCTGAGGTGAGATGTTAAAGCAGTTGCACATCCACTACCCATTTCCCCTGTTATTTTTCCTGCAGGAGGGGGAAATCTCACTTACTTAGATGAGTAGTTTATTAACTTACGGGTTCTAGAACTTTTTAATGTAAAGTCACTTGTTTACAATTTAAGCTCATTTTTTACATAAAGATTTTTTTTTAAGACTTAAGCTCTCCAACCAGGCCAGCAACCTTTTTAAATACCTCAAGAAAAACATGAGGTCTTTTGAGATCTCCTTAGATCAGGGTGACATGCCATGTAAGAGAAAAGGAGAAGTGAAAGGCAATTTTCTTTCCTACCTGTTAGTGCTTCTCTTCTCCCAGATGTTTATTGCTCCCATCTTTTTCCACGTTTCTACTCTGGCATGCAGTGCCCTTGAAAAGACTTGTTTGCTTGCTCTCCAAACTACTTCAGACTACATCAGAATATTTTTCGTGAGGAGGTACCATTTTGTAATTAGCCTCATCTAATAGGCTCTCCCCATCCTTGGTATGCAGTCCTGCTTTTGCTAATATTTTTCATTCTTCTACTTCTGAACAGAATACAGAAAATTTTACTGTTATAGGTAGTATTTTTGTTAGTATTGGGGAGGTTTCTGTTATTAAATCAGAAGCTGATTTAATAGTGCTTTAAGTTAACATGCAAAATAGAATGTCTTATTTATTTGCTCTTTTTTCTTCTTTTTTTCAGTTTCATGTTTGATGAGCCTTCTAGTTACCTAGATGTCAAGCAGCGTTTAAAGGCTGCTATTACTATACGATCTTTAATAAATCCAGATAGGTAAGTAGAGATCTGGAATATTAATATGTTGTTTTGTTTGGGAGTTTTACAGATTTGTAGAGATTAAACACTAGGACCATCAGTGTCATGTCCATGTTTTCATGTTGGTTGTTTGTAGCTACCACCTGAATCCACCTTCCTTTATCTGGAACAGAGGTTCTTGGTGCAAGATGCATTTATTTATACCCCTATTTCCAGGATCCCTCAGAATATTCTGAAATGATATACAAATTGTGGCATTTATGTATGGCTTTCTGGGAAGCAGATCTTTGGCTTTTACCAGTTCCTCAAATCTCTGTCTCTCACACACACACAAATTCAGAACATTGTAATAATCACTAGAGAAATTCTTGTTGTTCAAAATCTTGCTGAGTAAAAGAGAGTTTTTAATAACCTCTGTTAAGTAATCATAACACCCTGTATTTTATTTATAGAGTGCTTTTGTTGTTTGTGGCTTTTTTAAATATATAATCTCATTTGATCCTCATGGTAATTTTTTAAGAATCTTTAGGTGATAGTCCCATTTTGCAGATGAAGAAACGAAAGATCAAAAAAGCTAGTTATAAATTTACTATATGACAAAGCTATGACTGTAACCCAGGGATGATTTTTTTTTTTTTTTTGTGCAGCATTTTCTATACCATACTGCCTCTCCTTAGTAACTGATTTAATAAATATCCTTTTAAATACACAGCTGGTCTTGTAAGAAAACAAGAGAAATCCCAAGTGATCAAAAACCGAAGTGAGAACTATAAAGAGTAGAGATAAGAGCATGACTTTTCAGATGTTGCTGGTCTCTGTAATAGGTCTTGGGTTTTAATACCCACTTGTGGATAAGAAGCAAGGCCTTATATTGGATTATGACACATAAAATGCCAGGACTCTCAAAGGACTGCTTTCTCAACAGAACAAATTGCCTATCAGTGCATGGAGATATCAAGGAAGCATATATAAGTCACTCACTGAGCTTGTTAAGAGTGGAGGGATGGCTCCCTTTCAAATCTCTATTCATGGTCCAGCAGCTTGCATGGCTGTGGAATTGAAAGTTATATAACCAGTGGAGTCTATGAACCGTTCAAGGTGAGAAAGTAACATTAAAAAAGGGTCCTGGAATTTTAGTTTTATGGTATATAGCAGAAACAAATATAAAATCATTCTGGAGGGATATGCCTTCAACCCTGGTTTCCTCAGGTACACGCTCATGAGCATGAGCTCAAATCTATAAATTATAAAATTTATAACTTGGAGGAGGAAACAGTCTACAAATTAGTCAGCAGACATTACCAGACAGCAGGATTAGACCTTCAGGAACTTTGGATGACATTCTAAAAGAAGCTGTAAAATAATAATACTTAAAATACTTAAAAGAATTCAAAACCCTGAGGATACGATGCTACCAAAAAAAAAAAAAAAATGCAGTAGGTAAATGTTCAAAAACCTAAACAAATCTAGAAATTAAAAAGTATGGTGACATTAAAAACTCATTGGACAGGCTAAACAGGTTAGGAACAGTAGAAAAGAGCATTAGAAACCTGAAAAGTTGATCTGAGGAAGTTACTAGAATACAGTAGAGAAAGAATGAGATTGAAATACAGAAGGGAGGTTTAGAAACATGAAGAATATATATCGTAAGAACCTGAAAAATAAAGACGTGAAAGGATCATGGCTGACAATTTTTCAGAATCAGTGAAAAACTCAGCTCCCTAGATTCAAGGAGCACAAGTCATACACAGGATAAATAATCCATCTAGAGACTTAAGAGTGAAGCTTAGAGTAGCATAGATAAAGACACAATGCTATTTGAGCCAAATAGTAGCCATAATTTTCACTCCATACACATGCTTGGACATTATGTTAGGCACTTTGGGGAATGCAAGTATAAAAATGTAGTCCCAGTATTGAAAGACTTCAGAATGTGGTAAAGAAAAGAATACACATGTACCATAGAGTCCTGAGAAGCATACACAAGTAGCTCTCAGTCCAAGCCCCTTTTTATAAAAAGTGTTTTTAAAGCCCTTTATTATACTAAAATGAAAGTCATAGGTAATATTATCTACTTTCATGTATAACTTTAAAGATATCAAATAATGTCTTAACTACCATAAAAAGGAGAACTAAAAGGAAAGTAATTTACAACCAGTATTTCCATGTGTAACCATTCAGGCACAACACTAGTAAACAAGACATCAGGTGCAGGTGCTTACACCCACTTAGAATGAAAAAATTTAAAATTAAGAGATCAGGAGCTATTCTATATAGTTAAGATAGGAACATGAAGTAAATAACAAGGTGTGGATGGACCTCAGGGGAAAAAAACTTCTGAGGAAAAGTTTTTCTACAAAAGACTTTGCTATTTTATGAGAGAAAGGGTAATAACCTTAATTGTAACTGGGATAACATGTTAAGACAAATTAGATTAACAAAATCGAGAAAATACTTAGACATTTCACAAATATGCTGGTCTTATTTCTAGGTTAATAGCATTAAAATCTCTATGTAGAGAGAGATTGATGATAAAGAGTCATAGGAAGTATATCGTCATCCTGAAATTCTCCTATGTGCCAAGGCATACGTTCAATCTTTAATGCTATAAAAAGATTTTGGAGATCATATACTTGGATAAATAATGAGGAATAGAGAGAAGGATAGATGGGGGAAAGGAACAGTGATTTAAGAAGTTTTATAGTTTGATCTCAAAACATTATGAGTAAGATTGAAGACTAAAAGGTAACTCCAAAACTAATTGCAGGGTGTAAATTTTTACAATATAGATTTCTTACTGTGCTGTAGATTTCTTTTCTTTCCAAACCTTCAGAAAACAGAGTGGCTGACCTAAATCATTTTTATATTTTGGACTTCTTTATGCATAAACTCCATTTGAAGGGGAGGGGAGGCAAGAGGTTTGACCTACTTTTTTTTCTTCTTTTCAAAGCAAATTAAAAGCCACTAAATACTGTGCTGCCTCATGCTGGGTTTTAGAGGAAAGCATAGGATTTTAATGACAAAAAGTAGAGAAGTATTCCAGATAATGATCAGTGTCAACAAAGACACCAAGGCAGGATGAATATCAGCTCACCTGGGTGATTTGCCATTTTTATTGATACTGCCACCACTGTGTTAGAAAACATTTCCTCTTAATTTTCCCTTTTCATCTTATACTTGCTCCCATTCTTTTTTATTCTTTCTTTTACCACCTAAGACTTGGATTACTGTCTTAGATTCCAAAAAAAAAACTATAGGTTTTTCTTCTTGCCAGATCACTCTTTCTGAATGATGTTTTTTCATGTCATTCTCAGTTTAGAACTGTTATATAGCCTCTAGACATGTGGTTATTTAAATTTTCATTAATTGAAATTAAAAATTCATTTCTTCAAACTAGTTACATCCCACTTACGGCAAATGGCTACCATATGGGGTATTACATAGAGATATAACATTGTCATAATCATAGAAAATTCTACTAGACCATGCTGTTTCAGAACCTACCATCTTTCTCCTTGCCAATTAGCTTTAGTCCAGATTCTTTTGTCATTCTGCAACATTTTTAAGTATCTATTTAGGATATAGCATAAGACTAAGATCACAGAGGTGCTAAAATGTATTACTCTCCCTTTAATATGTTTATAGACAAGTTAGAGGGTGCTGATAATAAAAGTCCAGGTATCAGTTCAACTACTTGTTATGGGGGTTCAGGAATGGGAAAAAGTTCATTTGCGTGAAATGTATTTGTAAATAATTATTCCTACAGGAAGTAGGGTTTAAGGTGAACCTTAAAGGGTTAAGTAGGATTTCAACAGGTGAATATTTAGACAAAGAATATTTAGAAAAAGAATAGCCTCTGACACACAAAGAAATAAGAAGTGGATTATTCAGAAACAAAGATCCATTTTTTTTCAGTGTTTTCTATATACAAATTAAGTAACAGAAAGATAGCTAAAGTTTTGGAAGGCCTTGAAAGAAAGTCTAAGGACCTGAAGAAAATAAGATTTGTCAAAAATCTGGAGCAGAATTGAAAGATATGAGAACCTGAGCTAGAATTTAGGCAGAGAAGGAAAAGGATGAAATTGACAAACGAGACACTGTTAATTTAAGAAAGAGTTCACAGACTTGGCAATTTAAATACTATATGTCAGTGGAAATAAAATGAGTCATTTTTGGTGGGAGTGATGATTCCATTAATACAAATATGGACTGTTTATTTATGCTAGAAGCTGATACATTAAATTGGCATTTGAGATGTCTACGGGACTTTTTTTAAAATGTTCAACTAAGTTGGAATGGGAATAAAGTGCTGCATAAAAGCTTCACAGCTATTACTGGCCTAATAACTTCTACTCTAGCAATACTTTATCACTTCATTCAAATCTACTCGTTTAAGGTTCACATTATATCCCATCTCATTCATGTAGCGTACTAGATCTCCAGTACGCACTGACCTTCACTGGAGTTTATTGTTTATAGAACTCATTTTGCCACATAGTCTGTTTCATATCTATTTCTTATCTTAAATTAAAAGTTCTCAGGTTAAAGATTCTGTCCATAATTTTTCTCCATGTGTCCCCTACTCCAGCTAACATGAGACAGGACAAGTACAGGGCATAATACATAAGTTGAATAGCATAATATTCAAACACTTTAGGCTACATCTAAATTAAATCTACTATAATTGATTTTCTCTGTAAAGTTTATTTTAAAATATGTTCCTTATCAGCAAAACACATTTTATATGTAGTTATGTATAAACTTCCATGAACTTTTTTTTTTCTTTCAGTTTAGGGAAACATTTCTAAAGATGGGCATTGACAATGAGCATTTTTGAAGAAAATGTTTTGTGGTTTTTGCTTACTATTTTTTTATGCTTAATATTTTTAAAATGTTCTGAAATTTGCAACTGTAGTAAAAATGGTATATGTAAGAGTTTCAGCTGATTATATGTTATGTTAATGTTAAAAATAAAAAGATGTTTTGATTTTCAGATATATCATTGTGGTGGAGCATGATCTCAGTGTATTAGACTATCTCTCTGACTTCATCTGCTGTTTATATGGTGTACCAAGTGCTTATGGTGTTGTCACTATGCCTTTTAGTGTAAGAGAAGGTAACTTGAAAAACTGTTTTCACATATACTGTATTCTCTTCCACTCTGATGCTTATAAAATGTATTATTGATATTAAGTAGTTTTATGTTGCTCTAATATTATTTACGTAAAACTCTGGTCTCTTAGAACTTAATCACTGAGCAGAATGTGTATGTGAGGTTATATAAAACATTCCTTTTTTTTTAATTGGTAGAATTTTCTGTTGGGGGAGCAAAGAAATGCCGTTTTACCCTTTTTTGCTATATTAAAAATCTTGTATATTTTGGTTTCTGCAGTATCATTTGTCATCTTCAAATTTATCTTTGATGGGCCTGTACCAGTGATCAAACTTTTAAAATTCATTCAGTGCTCATTTTGTTTTCATGTTTCAAATTTATGTATAATCTGTATCGTAAATTTGTAGAACTAAGGCTGTCTAAAAGTCTAATAAGATAGTTTAGTAAGTATATTAAAATTGTCCTTTATTCCCTGTACTAAGCAAAAGTAGAAATTAGCCTGCCACTAAGCGGCTACTGAAACAGGTACCAGTGCACTCTCCACCTTGCGAATCTTTTTCCTTTTGATTTCTTTCCCATTTCCTTTCACTACTGCCTTACTTCTATTTTATCTTATATTTCTTTTTTTCAGCTGTTTCTTGACCTGAGAATTCCAAACACTAAAAAGCTAGAGCCGTTTCTTCTATATCTTGGGGAAAAA